ATACATATATATATTTATATATATATGCATATACGTGTGTGTGTGTGTGTGTTTGTGTGTGCACGTGTGCCTGTGTGTGTGCACATTTATGCTATGGGATAGAAACATGTGTATATGTGTAATCACCCCAAAATTAGCTAAAATTGAAGCCTTGATACTGCAGTTCAATCGAGATGGAAGTGACAAATTGAATGTGAGGTATGCGTTCAGTTTATGGTTTAGTGAGGTCTTTAAAGTTGTCGCCGCTTGCGAAACAGTCATGAACGCTTTCTTGCCCACTCAGATAACAGGTTGAATCGCAGTTCGTAGTAAAGGTGCACCTGCAATTTACGCTCAGTTGTTACATAAGTTCTAGCCTCAAGTACACTCAAACCAGTCTTCAGCTTGTAAATATACCTGTAGTTTGAAGACGTGTCAAAACTGCGATAGCCAGTCAATACAGCCTGTTTGACTAGTTCCAGGCAACGTTCACCTCGTATGTGATATGTGCCAAACCCAATGAGTGGCATAGACCTACCATCACTTAAGTTCATTGTTTTTGTGTACCGACTACGAGTCGCCATATCCAGAGACTTCGATTCACAGCGTATCCTTATGGGCATATATGTGACACACACATCATGGCTTGTATATTCAAGGGTTGCTATAATATCCCGCGGTGCGAACACAAACTGTTAACATGCATTTAAATGCGCACACCGCTTGTTTACTTTTATGTGGGGAGTGGGGACCAGAAGGGGCTACATATAGTTGAATTATTTTTATTTTTTGTTCTAGACGGTACACAAATACATCGCTTCTGATGACGTGGCATGACGTGTCCAAACACTTAAAAAGAAATATCACGGCCAATCCTTCTGACGTTAAATAGTTCGATCCCCTATATTTTAGCTTCTTCTCCAGCTAGAAAGAGGGTCGTGGAAATATACTATGAAGTCGACAAGTCGTACTTGCCGGGGTACAGTTTTCTGATTTCAAGATTGTGCGAGATTGTACAGTCCCTGCAGTGCCTGCACTAGCTTCTAAAAGGTCTTCGATAAAGATTGCCACTGTGGGGTGACTCTAATATAAGTTCTTCTTTATCCCGTCGGCATCGTCGCATGAAACACTTGATTTGAGATTACTGAACAATCCTGAAAGTATGTGACAACAAGATACGCAAAACGAATGTGTTTACAAAGATACAGATTCGCCTGCAGAGCAGAGCAAAGTATTCGAAGCGGTTCGACTGGTTCAAGCCTAAACTCTCATTCATCTACATCGAATAGTTATCGTATTTGAAACATGATAACTGATAGGACGTGGCCGACATAGGCCTCCCCGTCATTCTACGTCGATGAACCTATTGGAAACACAGCAAAGTTTATATTTGCCGATAGAGCGATACTGTGCAGCTAAAAACTAAAAGCGCTGTATTATACACACCATTCACATTGACAATCACGACACTTAATTAATCTGTGCACAGGATCCCCTCCGAATCCTCGTCGATTTCGTGAGGATGTTTCGGCAAATTGCGAAAGACTAAGCCGGTTTCTATCACAACAAATATCAGACCAACCAAATGTAAATACATTCTCGAGTGAATATAGCTTCACGTAGTTCGGGTGAAACACCTTTAGTCGAGTATTGAGCGAGGGCTATGAGCCTATGCCACAGGGTGCAGTTAACACCCAGCCCTTTATGGAAAATGGAAACTAGTTTTCATCTCGCCTCACACATATTTACAGGCTCGCACCTTTCTGTTAATCTGCTCTCGCAGATGATGCTATTTATAAATATATATTTTTGGAATTACGTATACGCTTTCGGGCTTCGGGCCTTCGGCCTTCGGCCTTCGGGCCTTCTGCGGTTCGGCTTTTGACCTTTGGACTTTAGCATTCCATATTTTTTTTTAAAAACATGGTCAGTCAGTCACTAGCTTGCACAGGCACAGCTGGTACTAAACTCTGCTCTGTCACTCTGCCTTCTGACGAGTGACGACTGACGACACACAATGCACATCATGAATCATGATGCTATTTATATATTTTTATTGAAGTTACGTATACGACTATACGCCTTTGGCATTCCGACAACTGGAATTTAATCGTTTCCAATGAAAATTGTTCAAATACATTGTCATTTGAGTCACTGGCTTTTAACTCATTTCGTTTTTCTATTTTTGTTTAAAAACAATCCGTTGTAACGCAAGCAAATCTATATACATTTTACATTATTTACCGTTCAGCGTTTACTTCGGTTTGGTCCTTTATTTTGATATGGGTATATTCTGAGGTGCAATATATAGGACCCGTTTCGACGTATCGTCTTATTTTTTCCAATTAGGTCAAACCCTTTCTACCCCACTAATACGTCATACCGTTTGGAAGAAAAAAAATCTACTTTACGTTCAACGTATATTCTGAACTACATTAGCGTAAGTAGGTTTCAGGTTAGAGCCTCAGCCAAGCTCAGGCAGTGGCTGTGAGTGTGAGCCTGTGAGGGCGTGTGAGGCGGTGTCACCTTTTTTTTTTTGGTATGGGTGACTGACTGTGAGACTGTGAGACTGTGAGCCGTCACACGATGCAGCAGCCATCGCTCATCAGTCATTAGTGGCTCTGGCTCTAAAGCGTCTGGGTCACTCTGGGACTCTGCGGCCTGGGCCCTGGGGTCTGAGCTCAGCGAGTCAGCAGTGAGTCAGCAGTTCAGCACAGAAAGTAAATATACAAATGTGTGTAAGCGTATGCGATTGGTTACTGCGCTCCCGTGGTTCGGTAGACTTTGATCTAAACAACACGGTGCACGAAACTTGACACCACTTGCTGAATTTGCACACAACCACAACACTCGATGGACACTTCTAAACGCAGAGACCTGCCCCTTCTCGGTCTAGTCATTGCTCTCTTTGGTAAGAGATGTTTGTGTTTTGATGTGCGTATAGACGTATTTTACGTAGTTACTAATGTGTAGTAGTATAGATTTTTACTCGTTCAATCTGCTATCGTGTAATGTTATTGTGTACTTATCGGTTTCCATTTAGCTTGCGGTTGTTGTTACCTCGGTAGTCTACGTGTTTTTCCAGGCACGTACAGACAGTATGTGTTTTTTAAAGTTGGCTGCACCTACTACAGCACACAATAAGATCAGCGCTTCAGACAAATTGCATTGCATCTGTATTAAAGCCTTCTAGAATTGTCTTCATGGAAACTGAATGCTATTGATTACACATCGACCCAACACGATTACATCTATCCAGTCACGTCTAAGGCTAGTGTTCTACCGCAGATACTCTTAAGCACGAGTATACCTACAATTCCAGCCACATGTACACCACATCGTTTACCTCGGTGTACAAGGTCCCTACGATGGTCCCCTCCCACCGCGTAACCTGACAACCTCCACTATACGCTTGTGCCGAATAGAACAAGTGTGGTTATACTACCACTGACCAATTCTCAGACCATCCTATGCGTATCCCCCATTTGTGAGTGGCTTCTGATGTGCCTACCTACTAACTATCCTCATCGCATTGTCTGTTTCAGTCGTGATTGCCTCCTACTACGTCGCCCGACAACCTCCCGAATACACTTGCGCCGATAACAACATGTGCGGTACCGCAGTCACCAGTATGCCTGAGCGCTTCACGCTGCCAGAGAACGTTAAGCCAGTTCATTACAACCTGAACCTGACCCCAGACCTGATCAATCATGTATTTACCGGATTCGAAGATATCGAGTATGTGCTGGATTTGTTAGTATGTGTTGCATGCACGCATGGTTGTTTGTATGAGCAATAGTCAGCTTACACGCTATGTGTGATGCAACTTGGTTGCTGTATATTGGCCGATGCACCTCTATACAAGAATCACTAGCAGGGCATATATTTCCACCATTACGTATTGTACATTAACATTTGTATGTTCGTATAGGTTTCGATTTTTAATAATAAAATATCTTTGTCTAGTGTATAGTACTCATCTGCGCAAATACATCTTTGAAGCAGGAGAACCATTTATTCAATTGCAACTTCGTCGTGGGTGTATTCATAGGTTGCTTGCACTTGTTTTCAGGATCATGATTATGTGTACATATATGTACGATTATATATATAGATATATATATATATATATATACCTTCACAATACATATGATTCGCATCCTTAAATGTATGTATAAGTAGGGGTGGAGTATGCATATGCTTACATATATATATATATATATATATAGTGAGACTACTATCTAACCTATGACTCTTAATCCCATCATATCGCTCATTGTATATTCGCGTAACAAGCATCTCCAGTGGCAGACAATTAACCTGTCACATCTGTATCGTCCCCATCTTTGCGTGCATTAGTATCCTTATCCAGGAGTCTACCGACACCATCTCGCTCAACACCAAGGAGATCGAGGTACAATCCGCATACGTGACGCTCGCCGATTCCACACAGGTCAAGGCCACCAAGATAGACTCATCCTTGAAGGATCAGATCACTGTATTCACCTTTGACCAGACCCTGAAAGCCCAAGATGATACCGTTTCACTGCACATTGAGTTTACCGGTACGCTCAACGACAAGATGGCTGGCTTCTACCGCAGTAAGTTCACTAACTCAAAGGGCGAAGAAGAGTTCATGGCTGTAACACAGTTCGAGTCGACCGACGCTCGTCGCGCCTTCCCTTGTTGGGATGAGGTATGTGTCCACCCGTGCGCAGCGACAGGGAGTTTGTGCCTGTGGTTGTGTGTGGCTTTACACACCTACCTACCTTTGTGAGTTTATAATTAACTACATGTGTGTTCCCATAACTAATGTCGTTAATAGGCGGTTGGAAGTGTGGTAGCGGGGTCGCGGATTGGGGCTTTAACGAGGATTGCACTACAATCGAGAAGGTGAATACGACTATGTAAGCAATCGACTTTTAATCAGGCTGTATGTTTCTATCACTTTGGTATTGACATACTCAACTGTATATATATATATGTATATGTAACTATGTACGTATGTATACACAAATATTTATACTCACGTCCCTACATCAACGTCTTCCGTCACAGCCCGCGCTGAAGGCTACCTTCTCCGTGACTCTAAACGTCCCCGCCAACAGAGTTGCGCTGTCCAACATGGACCCTGTCTCCGACAAGGCTATCGAGGGAACCGATATGCGCGAAGTTGTGTTTGACCAGACACCCATCATGTCAACCTATTTGCTCGCCTTCATTGGTATGTATGGCTCACCACCGGGTGCATGTGTATACCCTCCATTGCACACGCAGAGACATACTATATGGGCATGCATATTCCGATATGTAGGCCTATCTGATCTACAACGATTCGTTCACAGCTACGCGTGGCTGATTTATTCGTTCAGCATCGTTGGGTGGAATATGTACTCATATATATATGTGTGTGTGTGTCTGTGTGTGTGCCTTGACAAGCTGTGCTTCTCAGTTTGCACACATTCTCGTAGTCAGGTATATGCGGGATATTAGCTTCTAGGTACTTATCGCTCCCTGGCCAAAACTCTCTGTATCAGCCACCCACCACTACTTCACATCGACTATAGTTCCGCGTGTGCGTATGCCTTCAGTCTTATCAGTACCATGCACCCTAGCCGCCAGGCCCTGATCCCAAGTAGCTTGTATCTCATAGGCATCTAACCAACCCATCTTTATCTACAACTCCCACAATACCAATCCTACACAGTGGGTGAGTTCGAGTACATCGAGTCCACTACCCGCAACAACAAGCGCGTGCGCGTGTACACCCCTGTGGGCCGCAAAGAAGAGGGTCGCTTCGCCTTGGAGGTGGCCTGTGAGACTCTGCCGTTCTTCGCAGAGTACTTCGACGCGGCATACCCCCTACCTAAGGTGGATATGGTGTGTGTGAACGACTTCGCCGCGGGGGCTATGGAGAACTGGTATGTGTATGCGGCCTGGTGGTTGGGGATGGGTGTAGGGTTTACGATGTACAGGGTGGCTGGTGTGTGGGTGGGTGTGTTAGCGCTGATTTGGATACAGCACGGCTTGGTGCCTGGGTGTGCATTCGATGTGGATATCAACTCGCATGGTCGACGCACACATACATGCACACAGGCGATTCACACTAGACGTCCAACACCCACACATAGACGGATATGAGGGCACGTAGGCACGTGACCACGCTTCATTGCACCGAACTCTAATTGTGATTCCCATCTTTTCTGTTCGTAATTCTCAGTAGCACTGTATCATGGAAACTCAGTCTCTATGCATTGGGATTTTTAGTAGTAATTTACGGATTCAACTATTGTTTTTTAAGCTACTACTACTTAACCCCTAGTACACCGCGCGTGAACTTACACTCCAATCTCAAAAGTTTTCTGTATTCGCCTTTCTACAAATCCTCTAGCCTTACCCAGAGCGACCAGACCAAGTGACCAGCTTATCTATATAAGCATCGATTGCACTCCCACACCTGTACCCACTTGACCGAATTCCCTTTTTTTTTCTTTTTCTTTTTGTCCTCTGTACCCGTTTGTTTTTTAGGGGCTTGATTACCTACCGATCTGTCCTACTGCTCTTCAACCCCAAGACCACCGCCGCTTCGTACAAGCAGCGTATCGCGTACGTAGTTGGGCACGAACTCGCGCATCAGTGGTTTGGTAACCTGGTGACGATGGAGTGGTGGACACACCTGTGGCTCAACGAAGGCTTCGCCACTTGGGTAGGATGGCTGGCTGTCGACCACATCTTCCCGGATTGGAAGGTTTGGGAGCAGGTATGTATGCATTGCATGCATGCATGGCTGGTTGTATAAATGCATGTATATCAATAGATGTATGTATTTGTATGTGTGAGTGGACATGTATGCATGTCCTTACCTCGCTTATTTGTCGGGTGAGTTCAATACCTATGTTTCCTATACTCCTTTTGGCGCATACCCACCGAGTTCAATACACCAGATACTTGTGTATCCGAGCTCAACACGTCTGTGTTTTCCACTTCGACTCTCATGCATCTATCTCGTATATCTCCAATACATCTGTACCCCTCTCGAAGGCGCACTGACCCCCATTGACACCCCCCTCCTCCGCCCTCTACACAGTTCCTGCTCAACGAACAAAAGCGCGGATTGACCCTCGATGCGCTGCAGAGCTCACACCCCATCGAAGTGGAGGTCAAATACGCGTCCGAAATCGACGAGATCTTCGACGCCATCTCCTACGCCAAGGGTGCCTCGGTCATCCGCATGTTGGCGGCGTATATTGGCCTGGATGACTTCCGCACGGGCATGCGTGCGTACCTGAAGAAGTTCACGTACTCCAATGCGAGCACCAATGATCTGTGGGCGGCGTTGAGTGTGTCGAGTGGTAAGGATGTGAAGAGTCTGATGACCAGTTGGACCAAGCAGATGGGCTACCCCGTGCTAACCGTGTCGGCCGAGAACCAGGGCGAGACCACTCAGATCACCGTGGAGCAGGAGCAGTACTTGAGTACTGGCCGTCCCGACACCGCAGGTGTGTGTGTAGGTGGGGGGGAAGCGCATATAGTCGATGTATTCGACTGGTTAAGTAGAGTGGTGTGTATAGAAGGTGGGGGGGAGCGCATATAGTCGATGTATTCGACTGGTTAAGTAGAGTGGTGTGTGTAGAAGGTGGGGGGGAAGCGCATATAGTCGATGTATTCGACTGGTCAAGTAGAGTGGTGTGTGTAGTGTGTATTAGAATTCTTTATACATATGTGTGTGGGGACAATTGCATTTAGTCGATGTATTATGTAGGGGCGTGTGCAGAGTGTATTAGAAATATTTATACACATGTGTGTGGGAACAAGCGCATTTAGCTGGTGTTTTCGACTGGTTTGGGGTGTGTAGCGAAGGGTATGTGTATTGTGTATTTGAACTCGCTATGCACATCACATGTGTGTGGAAAGGTGTGTATATGAATTGGTCTGTCCTCTTCAAGCATTCAAGCGTGGAGCCTATTGCACATTATCATATGAATTGACGTAGGTGACATTAACGGTTGTCCATACTTCGTATCCGCCTCTCATCTCTCACTGACCGTTGAACACACCCACCCACCCACCACTAACAGGCGAGGGTCTGTGGCAGGTTCCGGTCAACGTACTCATCGACGGAGTGCAGGCTGGCAGTGACCAGCTTCTCAACGGCACTATCAAGGGCACTTTTGACAGTACCATCCCCAGTGAAGCCGCGTGGAAGCTCAACGCCGAGACGGCGGGTTTCTACCGTGTGAAGTACGACCAGGCGTTGCTGCCAATGCTGCAGAAGGGTATCAGCGACAAGACGTTCTCCGTGTCAGACCGCACAGGTGTGTCTGTCTTGCCGTATATGTCAATGGAATAATATATCTATACTTCACTGCAAGTCGAAGCATATCTCTATACTCTATTAGAAATAGAGGCATGTTTCTCTATATTCCCCAAATAAGCATGGAGGTGACCAGACTCTGAACGCAACCGCCTCGTGGCGTAAGGGAACGTATTCGTGTGTGGGTGTGTCGGGCGTTGAATATCGCCATAATAGCATTGCAAGATTTGTGCAGTGCGTGTATGCTTCACAAGCTGTGCGACTATCCTCCGCACAGTAAACGAGCATGCCTCAACCACACCATATTCTTTTTTTAATAGGTATCGTCAACGACATGTTCGCCCTTGCTTCCGCCGGCTACATGAGTACCACAGATGCGCTGCAAGTACTGTCCGCCTACAAGGACGAAGATGACACCACAGTCTGGGCCGAGATCATTGAGAACCTGGGCTGGCTCTCCTCTGTGTGGTACGCAGGTAAGTAGTGGGTGTACCTTGCCCACGATGGCTATTCACGTGTCTATGGTAGGGACGCTCACCTGCATGTGCGTGTCTGGGTGTGGGGGGGGGGGGACTGGGGAGACTGTTGTCCAGTAGAGCTCATATGTGGATACCATCCTGTGTAGTGAATACCATGGGGTCTCTTGCGGAATCCAAGCGTTGTGTGACTGACGGGTGCTTGTCAACTCAAGGTCTTTGTGTCTTCGTCAATTGATTAGTATGTGGTGTATAGCTGCGATTTGTTTTGCCCATCTACCCGAGATATATCAAAAATAGGCCTATATATCTATATATGTGTGTGTTTTGTGTATTTGAATTGTACAATATTGTATAGGGATGTATATGAACATTGTGTGGTTTCTATCTATGTGTATGCAAACATATGTGTGTGTCTGTTTGTATGTATGTATACGTATGTGCACAAATTCTTATACAGATCTGCAACACAACACCTCAGTCGCAAACAGTCATAATCAACAGTCAGCATACAGCAATCGTCTAAACTCACAATACTATGCACTATCATACCAGAGGATGAACAGACACTCAATCGCCTGCGTAAGTTCAAGCAGTCTATGTACGGTCCCTTGGCGGCAAAACTTGGTTGGGATATCAAGGAAGGAGAAGGTCACCTTACCAGTCTATTGCGCACCAGCGCTATCCAAGCCGCTGGTAATGCCAAGGTAGGCTAGTGTGTTTTGTTATTTGTGTGCGTTGGCATTCTGTTGCTTGTGGGTACACACTCGATTTCTGTGGTGCGGGTATGTGTCTGTGTACAGTATGCTTGCATATGAATACGGGCGTATATAGGTAACGTCGGGTGATCACTTCTGATGCTTTGGTCGGAATGTCGAAGCTCTCGAAACATGGCTCTTGCGTCGATCTATTGTGTATAGTGTACATATGAGGATGATGTTCGTGTGTAGGAGAATGACCATAGTGAGTGTACATATGAGGATGATGTTCATGTGTAGTAGAGTGACCATAGTGTACATATGAGGATGATGTTCATGTGTAGGAGAGTGACCATGTGTACATATGAGGATGTATACACAACGTTTTGTTCACACAATCGTACTGACTTTTAACCTGTCTATCCGTTTTCACATGAAGGTCCCTGAAGTAGTCGCAGAGGCCAACACGCGCTTCCAGAAGTTCGTCAACGGCGATTCCGAGGCCATTCACGCCGATCTCCGCGGCGCTGTGTTCTCAATTGTACTGGGCAATGGAGGTGATAAGGAGTGGGAACAGCTGGTGCAACTCACCGACAAGATGGAGACGGAGGAGGAGAAGCTACCCATTCTCAAAGCTCTCGGATCAGGCAGCTCAGCGGCTCTGGTGGTGAAGGTATGGTTACTGTGGCTTATTTGTGCACATTCGAAATATATTGGGTACGTTTGGTTGGATTATGCGCGGGATGCTCTTGGAGATACTTACCCACGAGACAGTGATATGGTTTGTATGCGACGCATTAATTGATCTTCGGTGTTTGCTACTGGGCAAGGATATCGATTTGTTATGAACATTACTTCCAACTCAGCTGGTCTGTGTAATGAGAATTTGGATGCCGAGTGTCACGCTCGCACGGATAGAGTGCTTGTTGAAAGTATCAGTCCTGTGTATAGAGACTGGCACTGATGCTGGTGCAGAGGGCTTTTGTTCTTTGGTGTTGTTCCGTTGATGACTTATATCACACTATCAAGCATTTAGCACCGCATATCTCCCCCTTCACCTATCTTCTACCTACCTTGCCCTCGGACCATGGACTACAGTCCCAGTCAGAGTGTCTTACCCGCACATTTGCTCAACCACGGATTTTCGTATATACACAGCACTGAGCACCTACCGTCTATCATCGCAAACTTCTCGCTTGGCTCGGTTTTTTCCCGTGCCCTTTGCCCAGACCCTGGACAAGCGTGTTAGTGGGGCGCGATACACAGCACACTATTCAGCCATATCACGTCGCATATATCTGGCACTGAGCATTCTCCACCATCGCTCATTCGTAACTCTCCCGTCCGTTATTGCATATCTCATGTCTTACCCTGCCCTGCCCTACCTCACTTTCCCCCCTCAGACACTGGACTACAGTGTCAGTGGCGAGGTGCGCTCACAGGATGTGCCCTTTGTCATCCGCTCGTGTGGCGAGAACCCCACCGGAAGGGATGAGACCTGGGACTACGTAAAGACTAACTGGGCTGCTTTCCACGACCGTTTCTCCGCCGGAAACTTCCTGCTGGGTCGCATTGTGACGGCCAGTGCCGAAGGATTCGCTTCCGAGAAGGTACGAGGACATGCACACCTGTTTAAAATGTTGGCCACGTGTGTGTATTTGCGTGTATACCCTACTGTATGTTCTAGATACAATTTCGCGTATCTACATACATCTGCTGGAAGATGTTTTTTATCAATTTATCTGTGAGTGTGTATATATATATTTGGGTTTTTCTGCAGGTCTACGATATTTGCACATAATCGACGTCTGAATTTTACTTCTGTCGATTTCACGTTACGCATTACGTCTAAGATAACTGCTCATAGTCGACCATTAACCGTTACTTCTATCAATTTCACGTTTCATGCAGAGAGCCGACGAGGTGACCTCGTTCTTCGACGCCAACGGCACCCCTGCTATTGAACGCACCATCAAACAGAGCATAGAAAGCATTCGGGCACGAGCCGCTTGGTTAGAGCGTGACCGAGATGGCCTGGAGAAATGGCTGGAAGCAAATGTCTCGATGTAATTTTTTAGTCTCATACTTGCGAATAAAATTTAGCTGAAATCAATGAGGGGGCTGCAATACATTGCCTGTATCTCGGTAGTTTTATGAGATAGGCCTTTCTCTCACCCATCTAAAATGTCACGAGTGATATTGCTTCAACCCGAGGAGACTTTCCTTGGTCCGTGAAGTGGACCCTGCACAGAGTAGGGTTTAGAACAATTATGGATGACTCAATGAAATACTACGAGTTGTGCACTGTATTAGTTAAGAATGGAGCCCGTCAGAAACACTATATAAGCACTTGAGATAACATACCTATGACACAACGCTGGTACACATTAAAATAGATACTTGTACAGGCGTAGGAAATACCTATAGATACATCTACATATATATATTCATATCTATATTACTATATTTCTATATATATATATATATGTGTGTGTCTGTGTGTGTGTGTCTATATGTATATATGTATATATACATATATCTAAATATATATATATATATATATAAAGATATATGTATGTG